CAACCCGCGCAGGAGCCCCGACTGCGCATGCTCACAGGTCCTGTGAGCCAGCACCAGAGAGGTCGTGGACCCCGAGGGCTGTCCAGGCTCAGCGAAATTTCCTTTTCGTTTATTGTTGAGAAACGGTTCTTCCAAACTTAGGCCAAATAAGTTGGGAGATGCTGGGCAGAGTGGGGTTCTGTTTGCAAACATCACACCAAACTGCTTTTAATGCTAAGTTCTTGTCTTCTAAGTGAAGTTACTTGATGGCAAACACACCCATTCCTTGTCATCGCTTTTAGGCTTGTGCTCAAAGGCTCCCTTTGGAGTCTGACGAAAGGCAACCATGAAGAATCTTTTAAAAGACCCCACCGCGGTGCAAGCCTCCAGGGAGGTGTTACCCCGATGCCCGGCCCCTTCCAAGGCGCCTGCCACCCTCAAATCGCCAGCCCTTAGGCATTATTTTCAGACCCTGCACCAAGCACCTTTTTCAAATAATACTGTGTTGGAAAATCTGCGTCTACACAGCACGTAGCAGGTGTTGGGTGCATGCAGCGTGTGAATGAAGAACAAAATGTAAGAGAAAAGGTAGTGATGGGTGTTGGTGTCGATGGAACTGAGTGGGGAGATGCGGACACTGAGGAGGGCCACCTCCCCAGCGCATCCAGGGGGCCTCCTTTGACCCCACCCCGCGCCCCAATTCCAGCCCGTCCCCCCAGCCCCCTGTCCAGCGAGAGCTCTTCCCAGGGTCCTCACCACCCCCAACCTCCTCCTACTTGTTGTAGAGGACAATGTCTGGGATCCAGATCATCTCCGCGGGGACCCGCAGGGACGTGATGTTGCCGAAATCGGCCGGGTTCCAGCGCAGCTTGTAGTCATTCCACTCCTGGGGTGGGGAAACCATCACGTGCCTGCACCGCAGCCTGGAGACCCCCATCCCCCCCGCCCCCCCGCAGCCACAAGCGCACCCCTCGCCCAGCCCCACAGAACAGAAGGAGCTGGATGCCGGACAGGGCTCGGGGCTGGGGCGTCCCGCCCGGGACGGGGCTGGGCCTGGGGCGTCCTGCCTGGGACGGCCGCTCCATCCGCCCCATCACTGGCCACAGGTTCCCCCTGCTCCGCTCTAGCGCTTACGCTGTGCTCCCTGCCTGGGCCACCCCTGCCACCACACCCATTTGTAGCAACAACGTTTTTTCTGTGCATGCAGCTGGTTCTCAACGTCTGTGTACACCGGTCTAGAGACAGCCTTGGCAGGTCAGCTGGGCAGGGGCTGCTGAGTAGGTGGAAGCATTCATTCCCCTCTGGACAGGTACGCAAACGGAGGTGGGCGGGCGGGGAAGGGCCAGAGCTGGGCCCTGAGACCAGGCACCCTGCGGCTAGCTTGCACCCGAGCGCCCCTAGGGGTCCCGGAAGGGAGGGGCCTCACCTGCTTCAGCCAGACATTGGTGGTCATCATTTGGTTCTTCTCATCCTGGCCAGCAGCGGGGGGCGCGAGTAAAAACAATTAGAGAGGAAGCAGACCCTGAAAACGAGCCGCCCACCCCCACGCAGCAGAAGCTCTCCTGTGACACTCCCCCCAAAGCCAGCTCATCCACCACCCCTCCCCAGACTCCTCAGGACCACACAGTCCCCTTGGGACCTCTGAGCTTATCAGTAGAGCCAGCAGGGTGTCTAGAAATCCCACTGCCGGCAACACTCCCCGCCCCCACCCCGGGGGGCTCTGGGGCTAAGAGGGCTCCCAGGGAGGAGGTTCTAACAGTGGTGGGCCTACAAGGCAAGCTGCAGCGGGTGCCGGGTGCCGAGGGGGGCCCGGGGGCCCGGGAAGGCCCGGGGGGCGGGACATGCGCACCACGTCGATGAGCTGGGCGATGGACAGGCCGAAGCGCACGATGACCACGTCCGCGGTGCTGGGCACCGGCCGCGCCCAGCGGTTGTAGCCAGCGAAGAGGTGTTTGAAGAGGCGGTCCTCGGCCTGGGCGCGGGAGCCCCGCTGCGCAGGTGCTGTGGGACAGCGGGCAGAGTGGGGCGCGGCTCCCTCCCCCGACCAGACCCACTCAACTCCCGCAGCCCCGGTCTTTAAAACGGGGCTCTCTCAGAACCTCTCTCAAAACACCCTCGAGAATTAAATAGAGTCAGGTGCGTGGGGGCTTCGCAGTGTCCGGATCTGCTGGGCATCAGGAAGTGCCGGCTGCCCGGCCGCTCCTGCAGAAGGCCAGGCAGCGCTGATGGGGAGGAGGGTCCGAGGCACAGGGCTGCGGAGAGGGCGGACCTGGAGGTGAGACCCTGCGGGAACTGAGGCCCCGCAGGGGGCGGCGGACAGGAGGAGACGCTGGCCTGCGAGGGCAGCGGCGGTGCGAGGGCTGTGTGCCCGCCCTTCCCTCCCATCTGCTTGCCGACAGGCACAAACGTGTGACTCATGCCTCTCTGGCAGCTCCCCTAGTTTCTCTCACGCCCCAGGTGTCTGCTGCTGCGGTCAGCCTGCCGCAGGTGTGGTGCGAAGGCTCCTGCCCGACTCAGCGTTTGCAGGTGCTACCTGCTAGGTTCTGCTGCCAGCAAACTGAATCCACACTCCGAGCCAGAGGAGCGCAGGGCGGCTCCGCCCAGCGCCAGTGGGGTCCGTCCTTGCTGGCCCTGCGAGGGTCACCGTGTTATCGATCGTGCAGATGACAAGCACTGGCCCTCAGGCGGTGCAAGGTGACGCGGCTGCGTGTCGGAGCCGTGAGTGCCCACTGGAGCGTCCCTGCAGCTCTGGCTGTGGCCGGAGCCCACCTGCACAGTTTCCTCCGCGTGCCTGTGAGCGCTGGGGGTGACCGGACGGCCTGAGCTTACACCACTCACCTGCTGGAATCAGAAGGAGCCACCACACTCCGAGCTGGGCCACGAGCATGCGCGCAGGGCCGGAGGGGCCCATGGCCGCAGGGAGGACCGGTCAGCTGTGCCCTACGGCCTGCAGGGGGCGTGCCGGAGCTCCCGCTGGGTCCTGGGCGCTTCCTCTCACCTCCGGAATGGAGCAAGACCAGGAGAGCTCTGTGGGGTCAAACATGCTAGGCATGGAGGTGCCTTTGTCTCCCACTTGCTACAGAGATGTGAACGCTGAGAAAAGCCCCCTCCCCCCACCCCGCGTGCCAGGGGAGGGCTGTGGGGTTCTCCCCGGCTTAAATGAGTAGGAGTATCCTCCTCTGGGACCATGCGGCCACTCCCCACTAATCCCAGCCCTGACCTGCCTGCAGAGAAGAGCAGGTGAGCCCCAAGTCCCCGTGGCTATGGTCTGGGGTTGCATCTGTAAAATGGCGATAGACGTACTGGAATGGGGGGAGGTGGTCAGTGAGACAACATGAGCACTATTCATGACACCCCAAAGGTACAGGTGCACAGTACTAAACAGAGGGTGGAGGCAAACTTCTAGGTGAAGGGAGGGAGGGAGTTAAGCGAGCGAGTTGCTGAGTGAGATGAATGGAATTCAGTTGAATGGCTCGCGCTGAGGAGTTGAGCTGAGGGGTTGAGTGACATGAGTTGAATTTTGAGACTAAATTTGGGGGTACCAGGGGCAACTGCAGAGCGAATGACTTTCTCTGCACAGCCTCCAGCCTGTCTCTCCCCACCCTCCCTCGGGAAGGACTCTCAGGCCTCACCCCCTAACTCATCTGGGGAGTACCTTCAGTAGGGTCTCCACCTGGAAGCTGTGCTTGCTTGCTAGAATGGAGGCGCATTCCAGGAGCTGGTGCTTGCCCGGGCTCCCCCTCAGTGTGAGGTTCTCTGCTCTGTCTGTGGTTGGCTGTGAGAAACAGCCAGGCAAACACAAGGACAGAGGACTCCCGGGTCCCCTTGGGGTTGGCTCCTAAAAGATCTTCCAAGGAGCAATTCGCATTTGCATATTTTAAAATTTATAAGGTGCTTTTACAGTCACCCTCGTCTGAGTCTCATATCATATGCAAATTTGAAAGAATGCTAATGCCCAGAGAAGTGGTCTGGTTTGCCCAATGCCCCAAACTTAAGCAGGAGGACCCTGGAATTCAGATTCAGGACTTTAGCATCTGAATTACGCAGCAAGAATGACCCACCCACATGTCAGCGGGTGATGCGTGGGTACCGTGGGTACCATGGGTACCGGGTACTGCAGTCCTTGCATTTGCTCTTCAGCGGGTCCTGGGGTTATGTTTGCTAAGTCACTGTGAGAGCTGGGGTCTGTGGAGCATGGGTGGTGGTAAGGAGAGAGGTGCTGAGCTCCAAGTCAGGCTCCCCCGGGCCGAGGTCCCAGCAGTGCCCTCTACACGAACATCCACTCCCTCCTCCTTCCAGCGGGCGCCGTGACGTCAATCCCAAGGCTTCGATCTGTTTTTACCTTTCAGCCGAGGGCACTATATAGGAGAAAGATTTTTTTCCCTGAGTTTATTAAAATCGGGGGGAAGGAAACAGAAATCCAGGCCAGCTGAAGTTGCATCATGTAGGTCTGCAGAGAGAAGTCCTGGGTTCCGGAAGAATGTGCAGATAGTGTCCTGGGCTCCGGAAGACATATTCCTGCAAGGTGCCTCAAATTTGCATGCCTTGTAATGAATCCCCGTGATAATTTCATTCATTTGTTGCTGGAAACCAAAGGAGAAACCGGTCCAGGTCATTGACAGTGATTAGAGTAACAGTCCGCCTCTCTTTAGCAAGAGATCACAGCAGCCCTGGACACTTACTACCCAGCCTCGCCCTCCACCCCCAAAGCCCGTCCCACTGAAGTCCGCGTAATCGAAGAGGGCTTCTTCCTCCATCTTCCTGCGCCGCTGGCCTTCAGCGTCTCACCCGTCGGTGCCACAAGCACCACCTTCTCCAGAAAGCCCCTGTCCACCCAGCCATCCAGCACGGCCCCCGTCGTGGGGGGCTCCCGCTCCCCACGACTGTCAGTACCCGAAGAAAGTCCCTGAATTCTAGGAAGTGATGTGTTCTTGCAAGCAGTCCCATTAGGGATGCTGGAAGAGAGCTCAGCGCTAGCTCTTCAGTCCACACTCTCGATAAACTGACCCGTTGCAGAAGCTTAGGAGCTCAAGGTTGGGTGGACTCGGAAAGGTCACCGGGATTACCAGCCAGCTGATGTAGGAATCCTCTCCACGAACCCCAGCCTCAGAAAAGCCTCAGCGACGAACTTGCTAGCTGCCGAGCCAGTAAATAGCACCGATGCCTGAGTCTTTACTGAAGCACAGAGGGTGGCACAGGGCCGGGGGAGGCAGAGCGGGACACGGAAGCAATTGCTCTGCACAAAGCCACCGACTCCTGGGACGCGACTGCTCCAGCGGCCAGCGGGCTCCAGCGGCCGGCACATGCAACCACGCTCAGATGTTTCTAGAGGCAGGCAGCCCCCAGCATTCTGACACCCCCTCCTATGTACTAGCCCCCCCCCCCATAACATCTCCGACCTCCGAGGGCACTTTTCTTACCTGTGGCCGTGATGGCCGCTCATCCGGAGGACGCCGGGGGCCAGCCCAGCCTGAACACCCCGGGCAGCTGGCAAAAGCCGCCCCGAATGGAGTGGCAGGCGCAGCCTGGGCTGGGTCATGTCATTTCATGGTCGGACAGGCGCTGGGGCGGAGCACAGCGGGGCGACGAGGGGGAGCCCGCCTGGCTTCCGGGGGGCTGGCTAAGTTCTGCGGGCGAGGCGGTCAGCCTGGGGCTGCCCTGCTCGGGGCAGGCGGGGGCGCGGGGGCGGTGCGTCCTGGAGAGCCGCTCCCGGGGCGCGGGCGGGTCGGGGGAGGCTGGTCCCAGGGCCGCAGCTGCCTGTGTCCCAGCACACAGACCCGCTCTCCCCGCCCCGCTCACACACGCTGGGGGCGGGGCCTGTGGCTGTTCAGCCTGCTGTGTCCAGGGGCGACGCAGCCAGTACACGCTGCCCCTCTGTCCAGCTTCCCTCCGCCCTGCAGTAGCCCTGCTCTGGGGTCACTGCCTCAGCCCCTGTCTCAGCCACGCAGCGGGGCCTCCTGAGCCCCGGGGCTGTCACCTGAGAGAGCAGCATGGTCTGGCGCCTCGGCCGGCCGGCCAGCTGCAGCCTCGCCCTTCCCAGAGCAGCTCCAGTGCCCCTGCCAGCTTCGTGCCGGACCAGGGTCACCGATGCTGTCCCCTGCGAGGCTGCGTCTGCGTCACCTCCTCAGCCTTGCCCTGGCCTTCAGTTCCTAGAGAAGCAAGGTCCTGCTGCAAGCCACGAGCCGACCCTGGCTGGTGCCTGACCAGGCAGGCGCCCCGGTCCCGCTTCTCTTGGACCCCCCCTCGCTGCCGTCGGCTCTCTCGGCCCCCTCAGCCCTGTCCCCCCGACTCGGCCGGCAGAACGAGAAACAGGTGTGTGTACACAAGTATTATACTCAAGTACTGCACATATACGTTTTTTCAGAACGACGAAAGAAAAAAGGAGGAAAAGAGAAAAGGAGGGAGAAAGGCAGGAAAGACATAACGTCGCTGGTACTCTCGCGGCTGCTGGTTGCAAGCAAAGAGCCTGACGAGTGATGACAGCGGAAAACGGTTTCCTGAACGGGTCACGAGTGGGCAGCTCACAGAGCCGCTTAGGAAGCCGGACTCCTGTCGGGGGGGGCAGGGGGCACCCGCCAGAAGGGCGCCCAGGTCGGCCTGCGGGGGAGGGGCCGTGCTGCAGAGCTCCCGACGCCCCTCCTGTGGCCACCAGCACCGCTGCCCCTGGAAACAGCCACCGCCGTGGGGCTGACCTGTCCCTCCAGTGGGGCTGACCTGTCCCCTCCAGGGGAGCTGACCTGTCCCCTCCAGTGGGGCTGACCTGTCCCCTCCAGTGGAGCTGACCTGTCCCCTCCCAGTGGCACTGGCACCCAGTAGGCGGTCAGGGCAGAAGTGTCTGGTGGACCTTGTGCCCACGAGCTGATGTGGGGGCAGGGGGGGTTCTGGTTCTGCATGGGAGCAGGGCTCTGCCGCCTGCCCTCTGGGGGGCCGTTCCCAAGATGTCTGAAAGCATCTGAGGGCAGGGCGGTGGCCCCAAACCTAGCTCCTTGGCTTCTAACATCAGTGCACCCTGACTTTCCATAATTACGCTTCAGCCCCACGCATGCTAACATTCCAGCTCCGGGCCTTTGCATCGGGGGTGGCCAGTCGCAGGTGACCGCCGCGCGGTGAGAAACTGCACGCCCAGACCCCGGACACGGGGCCAGACGGCACGTGGGGAGCCCGGGCAGCTGGGCAGGGGTGGTGGGGAGGCGCGGCCTGCAGCCCTTCCGGGGTCTGCTGTCGGAGGGATGAGGCGGGGGAGGAGGGCGGCTGGGATCAGGCGGTCTGAGTGATTTTGGTACATTTGTCTGGTACCTGGGTGACTTGGTATGGGGGTGCGGAGGGGTGTCTTGGTTTGGTGTGTGAGAAAGTAAGAGGGGGGAGGCGCTGTGGCTTGGGACTAACTGGACCGGTCACGCGTGTGATTTTCTGCACGTCCGTGCAGGCGAGCGGGACTCACAGACACAGCTGTGGCCATTAGTTTCGCCCTGTGAGCAGCAGGAGCCAGACAGTCTAACAGAGCACAGGGCGCGAGCACGAGACAGCCACCCCTCACGCAGACGGGGGGGGGGGGCTGGGGCCCCAAGTCCCCCAGGCGCCCCAGCAGCTCCACGCCAGGCCCCTCTGCACAGTGCCTGTCCTTGCTGCATCTGGAGCCAACGTCACCTTGAAATCCTGCGTCCTCGAAGGCCGATCACAAAGGCCATGAAAAACACAGAGCACAGCAAGTAATGAGGCGGCAGAAAATAAAATAAATTTCCAGCGGGGAGACAGCATGGGCAGACGCAGCGGCGCTGTCACAGAAACGATGGCCCTCGGCACGCAGAGCCCACGGGCCAGTTTGCACCAGACAAGGAATCTGGGCCTCTGGAACCTCAGGTTGGCACTGCCAGCGATCCTGGGGAGCCCTGGCACGCTGCAGCGGCCACC